CGACTCCCCCGCTTTAATGTTGGTGGGTTGCATGTATTCGAATTAATGATTTACGGGAATGTCATTTATAAAGAGTTTTAAATGTGTGAGACTCAGATTACAGCCTTGAATATCTTCTAAATTGTTGTTTTAATACTTTGTATCCTCGGGCGGAGCTACGTCACAAGACGTTCCACGTTGCTAAGACGCGCACCACTGTACATGTATTTCTGTGTGCGCTGCTGTGGAACGCCGGTCGAGCCGGTGAAAATTCGAGAAAACAACATAAACTCAACCTTGAAGTAATCCTGAAAAACAGAATTGATATATATGTTACACAAGTAGGGCTAATCTTGTTACACTGTTCAGAGGAGTCTCAACAACCATCCCAAAGTACCGTTTTCTGCGAGTTTTTGTACTTTGTTTTCACCGCGAGGGTTGCCAGGCGGTGAAAATGCCCGGATGTCCGCCTGAGGATTTTCGGTTTGCTGTACATACTTTTATTAGTGTTATATAGTTTATCTGTAACCCAATAGTTCAGTAATTTTAGGTATAGACTTTTATAGAGCGTGAATTAGGTTTACTCGTACGAATATAAATAAATTTCTCTTTTCACTATTACCTCTCACTCTTGGTAAGGTACACACCGACGCATTAAAAAATACCCTTAATTTACTAAATACACATTAAACAATTGTATACATCTGTGGATTGTATATCACACACTTGCATATATGTAGCGATTGTAAAAAACACACTTGAATCACTGTCCTATCATAAGAGGTGTTTTGAGTCACGTGATGTATCAATTTGGATCACGTGATTTACCTTATATAAACATGTTACTTTATACTAGATACACTTGAGGACAACCATTGTACTCTATGCTTCTTCCCGATGTTCACATCCGAATAATGATCCACATGCATCCATATAGCGATTGTAAACCCCTTACTTGCACTGATATGGAGATTAATGTGGTTGCTAACTACAAACTTGTATTCATATGGAGATTATATACCACACGAGCATCTATATGCAGATTGTAAAATTCTTGAAAATACACACTTGTATTCATATGGAGATTGCAAACCACACACTTGTATTCATATGGAGATTGTAAACCCCACACTTGTTTTCATATGGAGATTGTAAATCCCACACTTAAATTCATATGGAGATTGTAAACCACACAAATGTTTTCATATGGAGATTACAAACCACACACTTGTATTCATATGGAGATTGTAAACCCCACACATTTATTCATATGGAAATTACAAACCACACACCTGTATTCATATGGAGATTGTAAACCCCACACATTTATTCATATGGAAATTACAAACCACACACTTGTATTCATATGGAGATTGTAAACCCCACACTTGTATACATATGAAGATTGTAAACCACACACATTTATTCATATGAAAATTACAAACCACACACTTGTATTCATATGGAGATTGCAAACCACACACTTGTATTCATATGGAGATTGTAAACCCCACACTTGTTTTCATATGGAGATTGTAAATCCCACACTTAAATTCATATGGAGATTGTAAACCACACAAATGTTTTCATATGGAGATTACAAACCACACACTTGTATTCATATGGAGATTGTAAACCCCACACATTTATTCATATGGAAATTACAAACCACACACCTGTATTCATATGGAGATTGTAAACCCCACACATTTATTCATATGGAAATTACAAACCACACACTTGTATTCATATGGAGATTGTAAACCCCACACTTGTATACATATGAAGACTGTAAACCACACACATTTATTCATATGAAAATTACAAACCACACACTTGTATTCATATGGAGATTGTAAACCCCACACTTGTTTTCATATGGTAAACGCAACATTTGTATTGTGCATACCGGTAAAATTCTTGAAAAATACATACTTGTGTTCATATGGAGATTGTAAACCCCACACTTGTATACATATGGAGATTGCAAACCACACATGTGCATCTATATGCAGATTGTTGATTATACATTTTTATTCTTATAGAGATTGTAAACAACACACTTGTACCAACAAAAAGAATATAAACCACACACTTGTATACATATCGAAATTGTAAATCCAACGCTTGTATTTATACGTAGATTGTAAACGCATCACTTGTATTGTGCATACTGGTAAAATTCTTGAAAATACACACTTGTTTTCATATGGAGATTGCAAACCACACATTTGTATTCATATGGAGATTGTAAACCCCACACTTGTATTCATATGGAGATTGTAAACCCCACACTTGTTTTCATATGGAGATTGTAAACCCCACACTTGTATTCATATGGAGATTGTAAACCCCACACTTGTTTTCATATGGAGATGGTAAACGCAACACTTGTATTGTGCATACTGGTAAAATTCTTGAAAATACACTCTTATTTTCATATGGCGATTGCAAACCACACACTTGTATACATATGGAGATTGCAAACCACACACTTGTATACATATGGAGATTGCAAACCACACACATGCATCTATATGCAGATTGTTGATTATACATTTTTATTCTTATAGAGATTGTAAACAACACACTTGTACCAACAGAAAGAATATAAACCACACACTTGTATACATATCGAAATTGTAAATCCAACGCTTGTATTTATACGTAGATTGTAAACGCATCACTTGTATTGTGCATACTGGTAAAATTCTTGAAAATACACTCTTATTTTCATATGAAGATTGCAAACCACACACTTGTTTTCACATGGAGATTACAAACCACACACTTGTATTCATATGGAGATTGTAAACCCCACACTTGTTTTCATATGGAGATTGTAAATCCCACACTTAAATTCATATGGAGATTATAAATCACACACTTGTATTCATATGGAGATTATAAATCACACACTTGCATTCATATGGAGATTGTAAAGCACACACTTATATTCATATGTAGATTGTAAACCCCACACTTGTTTTCATATGGAGATTGTAAATCCCACACTTAAATTCATATGGAGATTATAAATCACACACTTC